ATTTTCGAGTCAGTGACAACCAAGAAACTTAATCTACATCAAATTCCTTACTGTTCCCTTAGGCACATCAGAAGGCATTACGAACATTCTTCCGAGAAGAGAATGCACTTGTCTTTGTTAACCAGCATTAATGTAAAGAATTGAAGCCCTTTTGGTTTGACCTAGTGAACAGTGTAGCTCATAACCACATAAGCTTGATCACCGAGGTCCTTTGGATGGCCATTCATAAATAAAGGTGTTCTTGTGGCAATTCACTGAAGCCTATACACATAGAGGAAGAGAAAGGAAATGAATGTCTTAATCTCTTTCTTTTTCTGGATGACCTTCGCTCACTGATGCAAAAAAAAAAATAAAAATTGAATTGAACTGGTATTGGAGCTGGAGCGTGTACAAGACTAAGGAGTTGGCTGGGTGGGAGGACATAGAACATCGGCAAGTTTTCAGATTAAAATAGAGATAGGAGGCTGGATTGTTTGTATGGAGCATAATCTAAGGCTTAAGATCCGTAAGTCTTTTTCTGTCAGCAAAGGACAAGGCAAAGAACGTTTCCTGCTTATGATGATTGCCATCAGGCACAGCAAGACTGTGGGCTGCTCATTGTGCAAAGAAACCCTTGCTTTCCTGAGCATAATGCTTTCTGCTATTCCTGGTGTTACGGCATTTATAAGCATAAATTAAGCACCCACTGGTTTAGCAGTGAAGTACAGGTAAACTAATGGAGACTAAACATAGGTATTCAGAATGCAGTCTTGTCTGAAATTATGCCTCGGTGCAAATCTTGAGTTCTCAAACTTTTGTTCAGATGAAGTGAATGAAAGGAAAAGCAGCAGCATTTTGCTTTCAGCCCTTTTTGAATATTTACTTCATCTGCTTCCTCTGATATGTCATCATAAGAGAAACGCAGAAAACCCAGAAGATCGTTATGTCTGCAGCAGTAATGTTCTGGACAAGCTGCAGCCTGGTATGCATGCTGATACGGAACTTGGCATTTCTTCTGGCTTTTGAAGGCGGCTTTTACTGTGATTTCTTGATGACTCCAGCAGCTCTGGAATTATTACCTGAGTGCAATAATAATGAAATTCTTCTTTTCACTTACATGTCTGAGACTGGAATTGCACTTCCATTCAGGCTATTACAACAGCAAGTGTGGTTAAAAATAAACAGTCCATAACCTCCTTCCGTGAGCACACTGAGGAGAAGGATACCTTGGATTCTTACACACGTCAGAAGTGTCTTAGATCCTGCAGCAAACTTGTGCTTATTTTCAGCACAGCACAAATAGGACTGATAGCCTTTGGACAGCACGGCTTTAATCTTCCCACAGTTTCAGCAAATCTGTATTACAGGCATTTCTATTTTAAAACTTCTTGCTGTAGTCATCAACATTTTGTCACTTACTTACACTTTACCCTAGAAAGGCATTATGAAACATGGTGTCTGTGTAGCCTCTAAGAAAAAGAACATGCATTGAATCCAAATACTTCAGGATATTTTTATCCTGACAAAAGGATAAAGTAAGACATGCTTGAGGAAAGACATGCTTGGTAGTAGTCATCTAGTACATTGTGACAGTTTAGTTTGTTTACAAATGAAGTGGAAAAATAGTTCTGTCATAGAAGCTGGTTTTGCATGTAAGTCAGCATGCTAAGAAGCAACCACCATCTCATGTTGCTTTTCATAGGGACTTGGAATAACTTTCTAACACTGAACACAGTGTCTGGTTGGACTTGACATTTGAGGAAACTAGGGCACTTTTAGCTTTATGGCTAGAATAAGAAAATATTCGCCAAAATTTGCAAATACAAATATGAGAAAAATTAGCTTTTTACTTCTTTATGATTCATTGAAGAGCTAGTATCAAACTGTCTTGGACTAATATGAACACTTAGAAGTATAATAATGCTACTTTGCATATGACTGCTGACTATGCAGTCTAAAAGAAGTATATTGTTCCTATAAATACAATAGCCGTACAGTTTAAATGGTGACATCAGGAGCCAGCTGAGAATTAAGAGATGATTGGTTAAATATGTTGCAGACAAACATGGTTGGTTTCTGGTGGTAGCTGTTAGCTGTTTGGTGTTTGGGTTCTAGACTGGTTATTGGCACAAATATGGGTTATGTTCGGAAACTGGAGGAAATAATTCTTCATGCTGTTTAGCATAAGCCATTGAGTTAGAATTTTAAACCCAGTATTTAAGGAATAAAGTGTTCCCCATTGCAAACTACTCTCTGGGATGTGGGAGGGCCTCAGCACCCGAAAGGTCCGTGCTGCCACCAGGTGTCAGTGTACACATGGCTGAAACCACTCTTGCTGTGCTTCCTCCGAGTTTGTTCCTAGTAATAATCTTATCTGGGATTGCTTTTCTCTTGTGCTGAATAATTGCACGGCTAACACAGCCCTTGTGCAGGTACTTATTTCTAGTTCAGCGGTTTGGTAGCATTAGAACTACAAGTAAGCTGTAAAATCTTGGAGTAAAAAATGGTATCAGACCTGGGCATCACTAATGCAGCTGATATCTTAGAAGAAACATGACAATTTCCTCCTCCTTATAGTTGAAGGGCCAGTGTTATTTTTTTTATACACTGGAAATTATTTAGCCGATTGAGTAAATAGGAGGGAGAAGTGTATTGAGACTGTAACAAGAAAGATTTAATACCAAGGCAGACAGACGGATTGACAGCAATTGTTTAATGGTCTGTTGATGCAGATTTTTTTGAAAATGGTCAGTTCTGACAGAACTTAAACTAGCTATGACTAGAGGAAGGCTCACAGAAAGTAGAGCTTCTCTAAGTAGTGCCTGCCATATAAATAGAAAATAATTACAAGCTTTTCTGGGCAAAATGAGAATCTTCTTCCTCAAGGCATAAACTCACATAGACTTTAAAATGATGAAGTAAGTAGTGTATGGAGGGAAGGAGTGTTTATTTAAAAGAAAGAAGAAAAGTTAATCTATTGAAAAGTGAGGTCACAGAGGGAGCTGTGCAAAAGAAGTTAGTACAAAAAAACCCTCAAAACAATTTCAAAGGACAGTTGGCTCACTAAACTCTTGCATCTTCAGAACTGAATTGCAACTGCTTTAAACTTTTGTGCAAGTTGGCTTTGTAAGACTTGTGGCCTTAACTGAACTTTTAAGTTTTTCTTTTTACTTAAATACAGGTTTGTAAGCGAATGGACTTGGTTTGCCAGCGTATGTTGAATCAGGGATTTCTGAAAGTGGAAAGATACCACAACTTGTGTCAAAAACAAGTTAAAGCTCAGCTTCCAAGGTGTGTACCAGTTAAAACTGTAGTTAAACTTAAATGTGCTAGATTCTCTTAAGCAGATTATTGAAAAGGAAGTTCTTGCTAGCCGATTAAACTTACATATCCTGAAAATTTGCATCACATTTGTTTTAATTTCATTTTTTTTCCAAAAGCACCTTGAACCTAAGATCTAATTACAAAATAATGGTGAGGATGAATGTCAGTTATTGTATACTAAGAACTGGAATATATGGGAAGCGTCTTCATTTTTTCTAAATGGAAGAGTGGGTCCTGTATTATTCAAGTAAGGACTCCAAGGAATGAATAAATGCCATTCCTTTTCAAGACTGACTGCCTTCACTGATGATTTAGCTACAACTCTGCTTTAAAAAAAGCAAGTTTTTTTAGTGCCAAGGATTAAGCAGGGGAAAGGGAGGGGGTGAGGATTGACATGTGAGCATTACTGGGAGCTAGTTTCTCACTAAAGCAATGTCTTTTCTCCTCTTTCCAGTGAGTAAGTTCAGCTGCTGCTGTCTCCTGTCACATGTCCCAGCTAGAGTGAAGAAACTAAATGCTACTTACTGTAGAGATCCTTTGTCAAAAGAGCTTATATCTCAAACTAAACTTTGTAGCAAGCACTGGTAACATATTACATTTATGTTAATTGTATTAAAGTACTAACTGTAGGAATATGAGAAGATAAAAATATTGACACCATCTCAGTGCCCACTGCTAGCTAGTACTGAAAGCTTGTTTTTAAATAGTCCAAAATTGCATAAGAAGTTTATGGATCACATAGGATGTAGGAATTATTGAGAGAACAAATGTCCAAGTGTAGTATGCTCTTACTAGCTGGTTCTCAATCTGTATCATTTTTTCCCTTAAAAACAGAACTAATGTTAGTGGTTACATTCCAAACCTCAAAGGCTTTTAAGGGCGAAATTAAATTGAGCGATTGTTATAGTTTTATGTTGTTGACTCACTGTTAAATCACTGTCGCTTAATGGTCTGTCTTCTAGACGGGAGTCGGAAAGAAGGAACCATTCATTAGCTCGTCATGCAGACATCCTTGCTGCTGTAGAAACGAGACTTTCTCTGTTAAATATGACTTTCATGAAGTATGTGGATTCCAATCTCTGTTGCTTCATACCTGGAAAGGTAAAATGTAGACTACATTATGTGAATGTGTATCTATGTTTAGTAAATATGATCGTGTAACTTAACCTGGGACAGCTCATACAAATTTATATAATGTGTATATATACACAGAAGTTGTTTCAGATACTTGCAAACAAACACACAAGCCAATACTCTGCTAGAACAGGCAGTCTGGAATGAATGAACCAGACTATATTGAAGTATTAGTTATTTTAATCTTGATTTCCATTTTTCTTAGATTATCTCTTAATTCTGAATTTTGACTTGTGGTATATATATATCCTATACGACCTTTTACAGAAAACACATGATATGCAGGGTTTAATTCTGAATTTTAATTGTACAAAACAGCTGGAGGACAGATAGTCAGAAGATGTAGTAATTTAGACTACATGTAGCACTAAGCACCCAGTCAATCAGGAAGATTTTAGGCACCTTTCTTAAGGGTTTGAGTACTTCAGATTAACTGAATTGAGATATTTAGTATGTGGAAACGCTGTTCAGTATTACAGTGGATGGGGTATTTTTGTACAGTAGGTGGAATTAGTTTTACATGTAGATGAAGTGTGTTAAATATTAATACTACTGAACAATTCTGGTGTTTCAGAATACTACCCTGACATAAAATACAAATTATGCAAGCAAGCTACACATCAGAGTTACCACTGTTTTATAAGCTGTGAAAACAGAAATGCACAGAGGGATTGACAGAATCATTATCTGCAGAAGACTGGTGCAGCTCAGGGTTGAAACAAGATCTGTGAACATTAGCCTAATCCTCTGTTCGTTGATCTTTCCATGTGAGGTTTGAATATGTTTGTATAAATTTTTCATGGGCAGAGAAATGGATTCAGGTGAAGCATGACTGGCATTTCTACATTTAGTATGGTAGGACAGGCTGTTGGCATGAAGTGTGTTTTTATCTTGAAAATGTAACTTGATTTCTGTATACTCTTCTTGAATTGATATTTAATTAATTTTAAATTAAATCGTTATAGTTTACATATGCTTATTTGACTTTATATTGTATTTTTATATATACCATGTATTTTTAAAAATGTAATATAACATAAAGTCAAATAAACTTAAGTCTTTGACACTTACATAGTAAATGGAATAATTAAAAAATGTTGCCTTATTTTTTTGAAGAGCAGATGAAAAGGCAGTAGTCAGCTTAGACCTGGGGTATGCAGGAGTTGGGCAAGTGAGCTTGCCAAATATTTTCCTCGTGGGCACTGAGTCGTAAGGACCTTGTGATATAACAGCTAAAAAAGCTTTTTAAAAATTACTTAGTGTATGAGTTTGCCAGCGCTGCTGGTGCTCTCTCAGCACAAGTATCAGTTCACCAGAAAATCCTATTTTGGTCAAGCAGATTTAAGGCTTATTGTTCACTTACAGTCTGTGGTTTCCCCCCCACCTGCCCTGCTCCCCTCAGGACATTTCGTTTGAATTGAGCTGCCACAGAATTGTCAGGAAGTGAATTTGTGTTAGAATATGTGAATCCTGATTTCAGGTTTGGCATACTGTGTGTTAGCCTATCACCATATCCTGGTGATAGCAGAGCACTGCTGCAGGATTTTATGTTGAGGGTGGCAAGAGAATGCTTTGAAGATGATGTTGCTGACAGGGTATAATGTGGGTAAAATTAGAGAAGTCTTTTGTAAGCTTGTTGCATGATGAGACATTTTAGTCTTGTCTAGCTTTTACAACTTTTTGGCTAAGCTTCCTTTCCTAAAACACAAGATGCCACCAATGATTCGAAGTCCTTTAGATCTGTGTTCTTTAGGAGACTCTTCAACCATTCTTCATCCTGTGTAAAATACCCGTGTCAGTAGTTTCAGTAATAAGAGCCTGGCACTCCTGTCTTGACCTGCCTATAATTCATAGATTAGCGAGACACTTTTCATCTCTCTGTATCTCTCCTAACCAAAAGGCTTGTTTGTGAAGCCTGTTAAGAGGGTGCTTATGTTTCCTGTCAGCAGTGGATTGATGTTTTATAAATTAATTTATTTTGGACTTCATCTGAATTTGGAATATTTTCGGTGTATGCAAGTGGACTCGAGTAAATATTTACAGCTCTTTAGACTGACATGAGGATAATTCTTGTTGTTCCATGCATGTGTTTCATATGCTTCGTAACTGGCTGGGGGAGCGACTGCTCTGCAGTGTGGCTTAGAATATCTTGCTCCAGGTTCTCCAAAAAGAAATATAACCTATACTCACCAGAGCATAATCATAACTTAGAAGTCAGGTATGGATGTAATAAAACAAAATTGCACACAAAGAACATTATTTCATTAGTGTGAAGAGAGCTGTGATAGATCGAGTGAATAGCTTCTCTGATATATCATGAACAGCACTTCATTTCAAAAAGCTGATCTAGAGCTAAAGTACACAGTAGTATGCAATAGTTACGTACTAAAAGCCCCTGAATTTGCCCGCACTTCTAGAATGATCTGAAATAATCTTGCCTTTATCAGAAATTCCTAATTCTTCTTAAATGTTTTAGGTAATAGATGAAATCTATCGTGTCCTACGGTATGTAAACTCTACAAGAGCTCCTCAGAGAGCTCATGAAGTTCTTCAAGAACTAAGGGACATTTCCTCCATGGCTATGGAATATTTTGATGAGAAGATTGTTCCAATACTGAAAAGAAAGATGCCCGGGTCAGATGTATCGGGACGTTTGATAGGAACTGCCCCAGGTATTAATTCCAACATATAGTTAAGTTTTATTTAGTTTTTCTGTAAAAATTCACAGCACTGTGTCTTTTTAAAGCTCACTTCCTGAAATGCAAGCTTTATTACATAAATATTGATGATACTTGTTTCTTAAGAATGCTAACTGGAATTCATTTGCTTTGAAATTTAAGGAGCCTTTGTACTACCAAAAGAACGGTCACTTGAATGTATGTTAGAATTGTGCATAGTGTGTATTCATTAAACAAATGCTTTTGTGCCACCAATGAATGAGACTTTATCATTGCACTTGGTTGAAATTTGGCACGAGATGACAAGTAGATGCCTTTTATTTTCAGGATGGCCAGCAAATGAATTAGCCTAAGCTGTTGTAGTGTGTAGAGAGCTAGAACATACTTGTATGTGCTTTTTTACTTTGCTGAGGTGCTAATGTATACACTAACAAGCAAAATACTTACAGGTAATAGTGAAAAGGCAATTAAAATAACAGTCTATAAATAACCAATTAAACTGGTCCTTTGCAGACTCTGTCAGACTTTCCAGAACTTTTGTGAACCAAAGTCTAAGGTAGTTGCCTCATATAGTGGCCAAAAGTGAAAGGTTAGTAGAGCTGTAGTGTTTTCCCTGAGCTGAACATCTTCACACTTCTTAGGAACTATGAAATTAGCTCTCTGAAAGGATAACTTAATACAAATTTTAAAAAAACACCAAACAAACAAACAAAAAACCCAACAAAACCAAAACAAAACAAAAAACATCTTAAGCAAAAATGATAGCCCTAACTGTAGGAGCTTGTTGTTTCTGGTATGTCCTGTCGGTCCTTTTAGCCCTAAGTGTGTACACCACCTCTCAATTATGTTCTGTTAGTTATACTTAATTCCATTGAGTCTCAGTTAAGGAGTACTGCCCCAAACCAGAGTTGATGTCAGTTTTCAAGGCCAAGGCTTTATGTGGCACGAAAGTGCCTATCTTGTGTTGAGGGAGGAGCATAACCTATGTAATAACATCATAAAGGAAACAAAAAGAGGAGGAGTATGGCTGTTCTGACTTCGTAGTGCTTAAAAGTTGTATCTTACTTGTACAGCATTGCTAGAAGAGTAAAGTGGTAGCAAAAGTTATAGATAGCTTTTTATGATAGGAAAAGTGAAAGAAATTATACAGTAGCTGTTAGTCTCCTTGATTTGCAGGAACATTATTAAAATCAACATTCCCAAGGTCAAATTCCAGTATGGTTTTAGTACTTAGGAAGAGTGGTTCTAAAGAAGCATGGAAAATTAATTCCTTCGTTCTAAAAAGTAAGTTAAACTGAAATACCTTGTTAAGCCCCAAACCACAAAATTTTAGAACTTTAGCTGTCTACAACTAAGACAGCAGAATTGTACTGCTCTACTGAAATATATTTATTTAATATAACTGTTCTATAATAAGTAATTTATAGACATGTTGTGGCTTTTTGCCTTAACATCTGTGACACTAAGTCTAGATTACAGTATCTCTACATAGTTTTTGATACAGCAAAAGGAGAGTGGCTTATATACAGGAAATGAATCAAGAGCTGTTTTCCAGACTACTGAAAATCTCAGTATTTTAAATTAAGCTAGTTGTGCTCTGAGATACCGTATGGTTGTCTTAGACACTGAAATGACTAAATCTGTTTACATGTTCACGTAACTTGCAACCAGTATTCAGATTCATGATTGGATAGTAGGGATAAGCAAAATATGAAATCTAGGACACAATTTCCACTGTTGTCTTAAAGTTGCAGAGGATTAATCACCATTTTCTCTGAAGTTCCAGGGCCTTCTGCAGCACTGACAACGATGCAGCTCTTCTCCAAGCAGAACCCTTCAAGACAGGAAGTCACCAAACTCCAGCAGCAAGTAAAAGCAAATGGCACAGGCTTGACAGCACTAAAGCGGGAAATCTCAGAGCTTCGCATCAAAGTGCAAGAGCAACAGAAGCAAGTCCAAGATCAAGACCAGAAACTGCTAGAGCAAGCCCAAATCATAGGTGAACAGAATGCCCGATTGGCTGAGCTTGAACGCAAGCTGCGAGAGGTGATGGAGAGTACAGTAGGAAATTCTTCAGGTTCTGGCTCAAATGAACAATCTCCTAGAAAACGGAGGAAGGTGGTTGAATCCACAGACTGTCCTAGGAAATCCAAACGCCTTCGAAACAGAAAATAACTTGGGAGTAAATGGCACCTTCAGGAGGATACACTGCTTCAAGTAGCCCAAGCGGATCTGCTTGTTTGGATACTGTGACTAGCTTCATGGTGTCACTTAGGCTGCTGGCTCTTCAAAACACCACGTAGACTTGAACAGTAATTTTCTTTCATTGAGACTTTTCTCCTGCTTTCTGTATGGGTGGGCCTAATGCACAGAGTCTGTAAGATTTACAATAGATACATACTAACCAGACCTGCTCTGTCATGTTTTGAAGGGTTAATCTTTTTTTCTCTTTTCTGTGCAGATGTGTTTAAAGTAAACTTATTTGTGTTTATGCATATGTTCACATAAAATCTTAAATAAATTCAGTCTTAACTGACGAAAAAATGAAGTGTAAAAACAGATGTCCTGTTCACTTGAAGGAAAGATCCACTTTTAAAATCTTGTTTTGGAGAACTTGACCTTTTTTGTTACAAGTGACCTTGTCTGGAATGTCTGAAAAGTAGTTAATACTTTTTGGACATCTCTGTAATGAGTAAAACTGACTTCGTAAGCTACAGTATTGGCTATATATTTTTGTAAACTTACAAGGAAGGGCCTTCTATCCAGTCTTCACATGCACACACCTGGTTCTAGGTCTTGGGAGCCATATTCTACGTTTGCATGGGTAGATGCATGTACAGCTTAGCCTGCTAAAAGCACTTGCCTGAAATTGTTCTTAACTCTGGGAGAGAGCACAGAGACCTACAAAGCAATTTCTTGTCCTCAGCTGCAACTTAGCCTCTGCTTTCAGCACAACTGCATTCTTACAATGAGGGGGTCTGAGGAAGCTGGTTGCGGGAGAGTTTGAACCTGGGCTGTCTGCCACTGTCCCTGCCTGTAAATTGCAGGTGTTGTTAGCCAAAGCTGGAGAATTGAGAAGCTGCCTGTGCATCACTTGATTCATAGGCCAATATCTGATAAGTGTCAAACAAGCTGTCCCTACAATAACCAAGGTTGGGGGGACTTCACTTGAATGAAATGCTGTATTATGGAAAAACTTAAACTATTTTGTGTGTCTGTGTTGGGGGTGGGGTGGGATGGAAATTTCTCTGTAACACTGATGACAATATTCTAAGCTTTCCTTATCCTAAAAGGCAAATCTCTTCAGCCAAAGCTTTAATTTCATTTGCACTTCTGTTTTGAGCTTGTAACTGGAAAAGCATGTCTTGCACTGTTCAGTCTCTCTGGTCACTTTAACAACCTCAGAGTTGTATACAGTGATTCCCCCTCCCCCCCATCTGTATATTTTTGGAATGTTATACAAATACCATTGTCTTCATTTTGTTTTAATGTACTAAACTATGTAGCTTTATGTGACTTATGTTTTCTTTTTTTAATCAGCTGTTGCTTTGAGTTTAGGTGGTACTGAATTCAACTTGGTATAGCACCAACAATGCAAATACTGCATTTGTAGCTGTTCAGAATCTTGACACTATTGCCACGAGTTCAAATGCAAGTGTCTCTTAATGTTTTGTATGGCTGTCAGCGTAATGTAGTGGTTGTTTTTAAATCACCAAACACATCAGAAATTATCTGGTCAAATGTTACATAATAATGGGGAAATGGACATTTTTTCCTGAAACTTCAGCTACACTTTCTACTTAAAAAACATAGCTTATATCAGAAGTAACATTGCAAATGCCTAATTTTTGGCAGACATGTACTTTTCAAGTAAGCTTATTGGGCACTTTCAGTCTTTAAAAAAACATGTTTCTTAAGAAAAGCATCAAGGAAGTGATAAAAGGCTATCTGAGGGGTAGGGTAAACTGCTAAAGGAGAATTTATTATTACTGTTCTTCCATGGCTCAGAATTTTTTTACTGGTAAAGACCTCTTTAAGATAGGTATCTGCTGTTCAGTTTAAAAACACTAGCATATACTTTATCTTTTAAAAATAATTTTGAAACAAAGGGATGGCGTGATAGCTATAATTCCTACACATCATTTAATACAAATTCATTTAATGGTCATCTATGATGTAGTGGTCTAATTACCAGATATTTGTGGTTAAATACTTTTAAACAAGTATAAACCTATGAATTGCATTTACTGAAAGGGTTTATTTGTACATCTCAATATCCTTCACTTCCGTTTCTTTACTCATTTCTGGAAGATGCAAACAATCTCCCCCTCCCTTCACAATACACAAATAGTTTCAGATTATTGGAGAGTACCATTTATTTATATTTTGATGGATCTCTAGCTGTGCGTAAACTGAGCTGGAAAGAAAAACAATGGCCTATTGTTACATGAAACATTTTCTGTGAATGGTGCCAACTTGGAACCTTCAACCCAAGGAAGTATCATGTGCTGCAAGTTGGCAGGTGCATCCTGATCCTCTCCATGCTACCAAGTATAGTAAAATTGAACGAGGCCCACCAAACTTACTGGGCAGAGGGGGTGGTTACAAGCAGGCTCTGAAAAATGCCACAACAAAGGTATGCCACTACTTCGTTTTCATTTCCTGGGGAGGAAGGGAGACATGAGGCTGTAATTTAGACCAATGGTATGGATAGAATTAAATAATAAATAGCTGGAACATTTACTTCTGACACCATATTGTCCCTTATTAAATAAAAAAGGATGCATTTTGCAATATATGAGCAAGCTGATAAATAGCCTGAAGTAAAACTAAATCACTTTGGACTGTAAATTTCTATGCAAGTTTACATGAGTTAGTATATGAACCTCAAAGTACAGTTAGTGGCGATAGGCGATTATATCATCTGCTCAGGGGAGAACCTCAGACTAATGTGACTAAGATGTAGTTCACAAAGTTACATGAAAAACCATTTTATTTGCAGTCATTGTAGTGTTCAGCTGTAGTGCTTGCAGCAAGGGCTGAAACAACAGCTCAGGGTTGAAAGAGGAAGCAAGTACCTGTCTTTTATAGTTAGTTTCTTAAAATAGCTTAAAACTACTGAAACTAGCTTTTCTTCTTGAGCCTTGCTATTGTTTTTTTAAAACAGCATCTTGCTTTGTAAACAGTTCCATAGTAAGGTTGGGGATTTTTTAGAGTTGTGTATCTAATGAATGTAGTGAAAACGGTATCAGAAGATACCACAATGGTACTTTTTTGAGACCTCTTTGCAACCAGGTCATGCTCCCCACATTGAACAACTTGTATGTAAATGCAGTGTGCATGGACCTTCTAAATAAGGGCTAACGGATGTGGGCTAAGGGTGGAAGCCCTGAAGGAAGAAAGACAACCTGCTTGCTAAGATAAATTTCTCAATTAAAGAACAGATACAAGCAGATACAAGCAAATGTTACCTCCTTCAACCCCTGATACTCTCTTAGCATAGCACATAAAATTAACCACAATAGTTCCTTGATGTTATGAGGATGCCTTCACATAACTTCTTAATGTAAAAAGTAAGACTACTGGACAGAAATATAGTTGCTCTTACTGAGTTTTCTAACAGTTAATTGTGGGAAGCACCAAGATTGCCTAATTGAATTTTCAACATCAAGGGCCTCCTGGATGTACTTAAATGTGTCCAGACAGGAGAGGACTACCTGATACTACACTATCTTGTGTGTTCCTTATGATTTAAGAAGGTAACTGGCAAATTACTGTGATAATTATTTCATTCATCAGTAAATTCAGTTTGTAGTATTTTACAGTAATGTGTCTATTGACACATTGTCTATTTTACACACATTTGTCTATTTTACAGTAATTGTGTCTATGAACTATTCTGATACTTTCCAATTCCATTCCTGTGCTACTTTGTACCGGGACCAACTCACTTTTCTGTGTGCTCTCTGTGCTTGCAGTTGTGCTTACTGGATCTCCCTTTCATGGCTGGATGGGAATGTGCTGCCAGCTTTGGATTACAAGTTACTGAACCCTCTAGGATTTTTGTTCTAGTCTTGTGCCAGCTGAAGACACGTTAGGTACTGGATCTCTTTGTCTTCAGAAAGGAAAATGTCAGATACAAAAACTGCTAGCTTGATGAAGACCTAATATATCTGTATTTGTTATATGGGCTGCTTAAATCAGAAAGACTCAGTGATTAAATAGTAAAAACATTTTGCACCCTAGGACACTTGGGCAATTAAATTTTCCCAAACTTTCCTATATAATATTTTTTGTAGTTGTTTAAGCCTTGTTTGGCTGCTATGGAATGTTTAGTTTATAAACCTGGACTCTTCTGTTTAATTACCCTACTGAAACTTGTGACCATTTACAAACCTATATACATTTGCAGTCCTGTAAACCTACCTCTGTGTACTGAACTCTTGATATTCTGTCTCTCCTCCAATGCTCTTGTCAACAGCTGCAACTTTCCTTATCAACAGCCTCATTCATTCTTTTGGCAGGCTCCTTCCCATGGAGGAGAAGGTCTTTAGCACAATGATGGATAGCAGTGCTAATATTTGAACTACAACAAGAAGGGAACACTTTCAGAAACTTTATGTACAGTACTCAGAGTGCACCTGAGTGAAACACTTGTGATCCTGGCAATTTTGCAGTCAGCTTCTGCAGTGGTAACACAAAACCACTTCCTGGTTTATTGTGAAGCAGTCACTGAGCAAAAAGTAAAACTGAACACCCTTTGCAAGGACAAAAGGCCTTGATGAAATCTGAACATCTGGGTTACTTCTTATGCTGCACCAGTCCTCTCAAAGTCTACAAAATTCAGATTGTCTGAAATTGAAATTTCCTCAGATTGACTGAGGAAAGTTGTGAATAAACTTTTCCATCTCTCCTCTACTTGCCCCCTTTTTCACTTCTAATTCACATCTTAATATGCACAGACTTAAAATGCATGTAAACAAAAATATTCGTGAAGCTGTGATGTTTTAGAGATCCTACGCTTTGTCCATTATTTTAGATTGTAAACAAGGGGATTGTATTTCCCCTACATTTGCACAGTTGCACATGGGGCTTTTTTAGCAGCTAGCCTTTTAAATTCATTCTTACTAATAAATTTTAAGTGATGGATCATAAACCTTGAGATATTCACAGAA